GTCGATTAAGGCAGTGTCTGGGATGCTCTCGGACGCAGGTTCGAATCCTCGTCACGGCCCTTGTGGATTTGTTCATTTGATGCATCACGTTAGTGTGATCTCTGTGTGTGGTCACTGCTCTATTATTACAGATTCTCGTCACAATAAATATATATATATATATATATATATATATATATATATATATATATATATATATATATATATATATATATATATATATATATATATATATATATATATATATAATATATATATATATATATATATATATATATATATATATATATACACAGTATATATATATATATACACAGTATATATATATTGAAAAACAAAATATACAATCTTACATGTGTAAAAGGCTCAATGAAAGGCGATAATTGCAGTAAAAGACTTTAATACCGGTGAAAAAGTGCAATGAGTAGAGTACTAAGGGTTATACAAAAGTTTGCCGTGACAGCGGCCAGGCGACGGCCAGGCCACGGCCGGGCCACGACCGGGCCACGCTGCTATACCTACAGGAAGCTTCCTGGTATTATTCCTCCAGATTACGACGCTATAGTACAGTCTTACAAGGAAGTCTTCATACTCGCTCAAACTAATGTTTCCCGCTAAATATTCCACACACGATAAACAAAGTAGCTACAGTAATGACCCAGTCACCGTGTGTGATCAGAAAAGTTAGGGAGGCTTCGGGCCATCCTGGACTATATGGAGGCGCCGGATGGAGCGAGACGTCAAGGCATTTCATGTGTAAGAGAGGAATTATGTATTTCAGCGGCGCTAGTTTGAAATATTTTCTCCAGTGTTAGTTACACTTTGTGCATCGTGATGGCTGATAACAGCACAGCGTGGTAGGGGATATCACTGGCTGATATGTAACGTTTCTCTACGTTACTTAATTGACTGATAACGGATATATACATATTGATCTGTTTAGCTCCGTGAGCCCTGCACATCTGACACATTTGTCTATACTTAAGTATGTTGTATTGAGTTCATTTTCAGGAAGAAAAGAAGACTTTGAAAGTGTGTTTGAGGCTCAACATTTCAAGTCACTAATAAAGCTTAAGTGACTTCGGAGTAATGTTATTCTCCCAGATTGAATTTGCTCAGAAGAATGTATCAGGCATGAGTGTTTCACAGTTTATTTGGATGCTAAGTGGAGGCAGGGAATTATCAGGGAAAAGCGCCAAGCCATGACGACTATATAGTACTTGGAAGGGGGTCAGTACTTGGGATGGGACGGGGGGAAAGGAATGGTGCCCAATCACTTGGACGATTGGGGATTGAGCGCCGACCTGCATGACGCGAGACCGTCGCTCTACCCCGCCATACTAAGTAGAGCGCCTCTGTGATCTCTCATTAAAGTATTACTGACTACAAAGGCATTAAACGGAGCCTGGGCTCCCAAAGAGGGAAGAGTCACACTTAGAACCATTCCATTGACACAATATTCCTTCAGTTGCCAGATGTCTCACCTTAAGAGTAAGTTATATATGCATACAAGTATTTATTGTCATGAATCACGGGCTAAATGTTCAGCTATGTTCACTTCATCAACCATTCACTGTCATTAAAGAGTAAAGCCTTTGATGATGAGGCAATAATGAAGTCGTACAATGGAGTCATACACTTCCCACCTCTCACACTCCCAGCTGGACCAGAGGCGGGACCACAGAGCCAAAGCTCAGCCCAGCAACCACAACTAGGTGAGTACATCACTTCCTCATTGACATAACACGTTCTTGCAAGTTCATTGTTCTCTGGTGATATTTTCGCGTACAAAACATTAAACGTTTAATGTATATAATGTCTATAATGTATATAATGTCTATGATGTATATAAAGTCTATGATGTATAAGTGTCTGTTCAGCATGTTGTCTCTTTGCACATGTTTTCTGTGTGATGACACAATGGGTCACGTTGGTACAACTCCAGCCAGATACCAATTAGTCTCCACAACAATCACACTTGCTGCTCTCTTCGTCTTATACCTGAAGTTACCTGAGCGGCCATACCATCTTTAGTGGCCTCCACAGAGACAGGAAGCCGGCATCTTGTCAAAGGAGCCTTCACTATTCCTGAGTATCTCTTTTTAGTTTAATTTTCACTTGGCATACTGTTTCGTCCCTCCACACAGCTCTGAAGTTCCTGTCATATATATATATATATATATATATATATATATATATATATATATATATATATATATATATATATATATATATATATATATATATATGTCGTACCTAGTAGCCAGAACTCACTTCTCAGCCTACTATTCAAGGCCCGATTTGCCTAATAAGCCAAGTTTTCCTGAATTAATATATTTACTATAATTTTTTTCTTATGAAATGATAAAGCAACCCTTTTCTCTATGTATGAGGTCAATTTTTTTTTATTGGAGTTAAAATTAACGTAGATATATGACCGAACCTAACCAACCCTACCTAACCTAACCTAACCTATATTTATAGGTAAGGTTAGGTTAGGTTGCCAAAAAAAGCTAGGTTAGGTTAGGTTAGGTAGGTTAGGTAGACGAAAAAACATTAATTCATGAAAACTTGGCTTATTAGGCAAATCGGGCCTTGAATAGTAGGCTGAGAAGTGCGTTCTGGCTATTAGGTACGACATATATATATATATATATATATATATATATATATATATATATATATATATATATATATATATATATCTATATATATATATATATATATATATATATATATATATATATATATATATCTGGCTCTTTGGTCCCGCCTCTCAACTGTCAATCAACTGGTGTACAGGTTCCTGAGCCTACTGGGCTCTATCATATCTACATTATAAACTGTGTATGGAGTCAGCCTCCACCACATCACTGCCTAATGCATTCCACCTGTTAACTACTCCCACACTGAGACAGTTCTTTATAACGGCTGTGTGGCTCAGCTGCTGCTGCTGTGTGACCCAGCTGCTGTGTGACCCAGCTGCTGCTGCTGTGTGACCCTGGTGCTGCTGTGTGACCCTGGTGCTGCTGCTGTGTGACCCAGCTGCTGCTGCTGTGTGACCCAGCTGCTGCTGTGTGACCCTGGTGCTGCTGTGTGACCCAGCTGCGGCTGTGTGACCCTGGTGCTGCTGTGTGACCCAGCTGCTGTGTGACCCAGCTGCTGTGTGACCCAGCTGCTGCTGCTGTGTGACCCTGGTGCTGCTGTGTGACCCAGCTGCTGCTGCTGTGTGACCCTGCTGCTGCTGTGTGACCCAGCTGCTGCTGTGTGACCCTGGTGCTGCTGTGGGACCCCAGCTGCTGCTGCTGTGTGACCCAGCTGCTGCTGTGTGACCCCAGCTGCTGCTGTGTGACCCAGCTGCTGCTGCTGTGTGACCCCAGCTGCTGCTGTGTGACCCTGGTGTTGCTGTGGGACCCCAGCTGCTGCTGCTGTGTGACCCAGCTGCTGCTGCTGTGTGACCCAGCTGCTGCTGTGTGACCCAGCTGCTGCTGCTGTGTGACCCAGCTGCTGCTGCTGTGTGACCCAGCTGCTGCTGTGTGACCCAGCTGCTGCTGCTGTGTGACCCAGCTGCTGCTGTGTGACCCTGGTGCTGCTGTGGGACCCCAGCTGCTGCTGCTGTGTGACCCAGCTGCTGCTGCTGTGTGACCCAGCTGCTGCTGCTGTGTGACCCAGCTGCTGCTGCTGTGTGACCCAGCTGCTGCTGCTGTGTGACCCAGCTGCTGCTGCTGTGTGACCCAGCTGCTGCTGCTGTGTGACCCAGCTGCTGCTGCTGTGTGACCCAGCTGCTGCTGCTGTGTGACCCAGCTGCTGCTGCTGTGTGACCCAGCTGCTGCTGCTGTGTGACCCAGCTGCTGCTGTGTGACCCAGCTGCTGCTGTGTGACCCAGCTGCTGCTGTGTGACCCAGCTGCTGCTGTGTGACCCTGGTGCTGCTGTGGGACCCCAGCTGCTGCTGTGTGACCCAGCTGCTGCTGCTGTGTGACCCAGCTGCTGCTGCTGTGTGACCCAGCTGCTGCTGTGTGACCCTGGTGCTGCTGTGTGACCCAGCTGCTGCTGCTGTGTGACCCAGCTGCTGCTGCTGTGTGACCCAGCTGCTGCTGCTGTGTGACCCAGCTGCTGCTGCTGTGTGACCCAGCTGCTGCTGTGTGACCCAGCTGCTGCTGTGTGACCCTGGTGCTGCTGTGGGACCCCAGCTGCTGCTGTGTGACCCCAGCTGCTGCTGTGTGACCCCAGCTGCTGCTGTATGACCCTGGTGCTGCTGTGTGACCCAGCTGCTGCTGCTGTGTGACCCAGCTGCTGCTGCTGTGTGACCCAGCTGCTGCTGTGTGACCCAGCTGCTGCTGCTGTGTGACTCTGGTGCTGCTGTGTGACCCAGCTGCTGTGTGACCCAGCTGCTGCTGCTGTGTGACCCAGCTGCTGCTGCTGTGTGACCCAGCTGCTGCTGCTATGTGACCCAGCTGCTGCTGTGTGACCCAGCTGCTGCTGTGTGACCCAGCTGCTGCTGTGTGACCCTGGTGCTGCTGTGGGACCCCAGCTGCTGCTGCTGTGTGACCCAGCTGCTGCTGCTGTGTGACCCAGCTGCTGCTGCTGTGTGACCCAGCTGCTGCTGCTGTGTGACCCAGCTGCTGCTGCTGTGTGACCCAGCTGCTGCTGTGTGACCCAGCTGCTGCTGTGTGACCCAGCTGCTGCTGTGTGACCCAGCTGCTGCTGTGTGACCCAGCTGCTGCTGTGTGACCCAGCTGCTGCTGCTGTGTGACCCAGCTGCTGCTGCTGTGTGACCCAGCTGCTGCTGTGTGACCCAGCTGCTGCTGCTGTGTGACCCAGCTGCTGCTGCTGTGTGACCCAGCTGCTGCTGCTGTGTGACCCTGGTGCTGCTGTGTGACCCAGCTGCTGCTGTGTGACCCTGGTGCTGCTGTGTGACCCAGCTGCTGCTGTGTGACCCTGGTGCTGCTGTGTGACCCAGCTGCTGCTGTGTGACCCTGGTGCTGCTGTGTGACCCAGCTGCTGCTGTGTGACCCAGCTGCTGCTGTGTGACCCAGCTGCTGCTGCTGTGTGACCCAGCTGCTGCTGTGTGACCCAGCTGCTGCTGTGTGACCCCAGCTGCCAGGTCAGATGTCTTGATAATCTTACCAGTTGTCAAGGAAATCAAAGCCTGTCTTGGGAATGTTGCTCTGAAAGACACAAATTAAGTTTTCTATTACTTCAATGTCTTCATTATTTAATACTGCGAAGCATTTATTGCCTCCTCTGAAATAGATCTTAGAACTTAGTTATTCTTTAGTACAATATTAGTCTCTATATATGGCAACATCACGTTAGTTATGTATTTAAAATATAATTTATTGCCTTTAGAAAATTGCCAGCATGCCGTTGGTAAAGAAAATAATGCAGTTAGTGAAACTATATTGAAATAATTTATCTCACCTCTCTCTTGGTTGATAAGACTGAGGAAAACAATGGATCCAGGTCCTCTTGAGCCGCCGAATGTTTCTTGTGACGAAGGAGAGGCTGTTCCTCCCTCGGGGTGTCCAGAGTGTCCGTCATGGAGTCGGGCTCGGAGGTGTCGCCGCCGCTGCAGGTGTCCCCGTGGGCGCCGGGGGACGGTGTGGGCGGCGGGCGGGAGGACGGGGCTCCGGGACCCATGAAGGTGACATTGTGGGTCAGGTCAGCCATGGTTGGCGTGGCCAGAGGAGTGGGCAGGTCCGCCGGCGGAGGAATACTTGTGGCCATATTGCCTTTACTCTCCGCCACTGTGGGTGTTAGGAGTGTTGTACCGTGAGGGGCCACTGGGCCATGTGTGGCCCCAGGAGCTGCGGTGTATGGCCCGTCATCGTCCTCATCTGGCAGAGAGCAGACGTAGCCGCCAAGAGTAGGGTCGCTGGAGAGCGCTGAGAGTGATGGAAGCTTGTGACTCTTACCTTGAGTCTTGTCGTCTGAGGTGTGGCCACTTGTGGCCGCCTTGACCTGAGTGGCCGCGCAGGGCGGGCCATCAGGTGGACTTACTAGGACGTGTGCCTTCTGAAGCCTGGCGCTGGGAGCCCGTAGATCAGGCTCACCGCCGCCATCAGATGCGCGGTGCAGGGAGAAGAGAGACGTCTGGCCCTGAGAAGTGCGCAGCGGTAAGCAGGTCGCAGTGAGAGCTGCGACTGCGCCTCGGACCCGGGCCAGGAACCCAGTTCCCTCACTGTGCTCGCCCTTGCCACGTATGAGCATATACTTCGACGTCGAAGGCGACCCTTTAGACCCACAGATGAGGTCTTTGGGCAAAGTGGCGCACATTGGGGCGGACACGACCACAGACGGGGGGTCAGGGGGGTCGTCCGGGGGGTCGTAGTGCCAGCGGAACCTAGGGGGTCGTGGCAGGGAGAGGGGTCGTGCCGTGTACACTGCCCGCCCGCCGGGTATGACACGCCCCTCGCCTGCTGTGGTGGTGGGCGGCGCCTCCACGGGCGTGCTGGGGTGGGAGGGCGTGGCTGGGGGCGTGTCCAGCGTCAGGTCCATCTGGGAGCGGGTGTGCCACGAGAACGGCGCCGAGTGCTCGTCCCTCCAGCTGCACGACTGACAAACAAAGTCTAATATTAGTGTTCCATTCACCTGGGCTGAGGAGACTCCACCCGCGGACCCACACGCAGAAAGTTGTAATAATGCATCATTCTACCTGTTTATCTTATAACCATGAACCATAACCATGTACCATAACATTAACTATCCACTGTAACTACTCACTGTAACTACCCACTGTAACTACCCACTGTAACTACCCACTGTAACTACCCACTGTAACTACCCACTGTAAGTACCCACTGTAACTACCCACTGTAACTACCCACTGTAACTACCCACTGTAACTATCCACTGTAACTACTCACTGTAACTACCCACTGTAACTACCCACTGTAACTACCCACTCTAACTACCCACTCTAACTACCCACTGTAACTACTGAGTATATACACCTGGTTGTATAGAGCCAGCTCTACACAGCTGGCACTATACAGGTGTGTGTAGACAGGTGGCTCTACACAGCTGGCACTATACAGGTGGGTGTAGACAGGTGGCTCTACACAGCTGGCACTATACAGGTGGGTGTACACAGCTGGCACTATACAGGTGGGTGTAGACAGGTGGCTCTACACAGCTGGCACTATACAGGTGGGTGTACACAGCTGGCACTATACAGGTGGGTGTACACAGGTGGCACTATACAGGTGGGTGTAGACAGGTGGCTCTACACAGCTGGCACTATACAGGTGGGTGTACACAGCTGGCACTATACAGGTGGGTGTACACAGCTGGCACTATACAGGTGGGTGTAGACAGGTGGCTCTACACAGCTGGCACTATACAGGTGGGTGTACACAGCTGGCACTATACAGGTGGGTGTACACAGGTGGCACTATACAGGTGGGTGTACACAGGTGGCTCTACACAGCTGGCACTATACAGGTGGGTGTACACAGCTGGCACTATACAGGTGGGTGTACACAGCTGGCACTATACAGGTGGGTGTACACAGGTGGCACTATACAGGTGGGTGTATACAGGTGGGTGTACACAGCTGGCACTATACAGGTGTGTGTAGACAGGTGGCTCTACACAGCTGGCACTATACAGGTGGGTGTATACAGGTGGGTGTACACATGTGGCACTATACAGGTGGGTGTACACAGCTGGCACTATACAGGTGTGTGTAGACAGGTGGCTCTACACAGCTGGCACTATACAGGTGTGTGTAGACAGGTGGCTCTACACAGCTGGCACTATACAGGTGTGTGTAGACAGGTGGGTGTACACAGCTGGCACTATACAGGTGTGTGTAGACAGGTGGCTCTACACAGCTGGCACTATACAGGTGTGTGTAGACAGCTGGCACTATACAGGTGTGTGTAGACAGGTGGCTCTACACAGCTGGCACTATACAGGTGGGTGTACACAGCTGGCACTATACAGGTGGGTGTATACAGGTGGGTGTACACAGCTGGCACTATACAGGTGTGTGTAGACAGGTGGGTGTACACAGCTGGCACTATACAGGTGGGTGTACACAGCTGGCACTATACAGGTGTGTGTAGACAGGTGGGTGTACACAGCTGGCACTATACAGGTGTGTGTAGACAGCTGGCACTATACAGGTGTGTGTAGACAGGTGGGTGTACACAGCTGGCACTATACAGGTGGGTGTACACAGGTGGCACTATACAGGTGGGTGTATACAGCTGGCACTATACAGGTGTGTGTAGACAGGTGGGTGTACACAGCTGGCACTATACAGGTGTGTGTAGACAGGTGGGTGTACACAGCTGGCACTATACAGGTGTGTGTAGACAGCTGGCACTATACAGGTGGGTGTAGACAGGTGGGAGTACACAGCTGGCACTATACAGGTGGGTGTAGACAGCTGGCACTATACAGGTGGGTGTAGACAGGTGGGTGTACACAGCTGGCACTATACAGGTGGGTGTAGACAGCTGGCACTATACAGGTGTGTGTAGACAGCTGGCACTATACAGGTGTGTGTAGACAGGTGGGTGTAGACAGCTGGCACTATACAGGTGGGTGTAGACAGCTGGCACTATACAGGTGTGTGTAGACAGGTGGGTGTACACAGCTGGCACTATACAGGTGGGTGTACACAGCTGGCACTATACAGGTGGGTGTACACAGCTGGCACTATACAGGTGGGTGTAGACAGCTGGCACTATACAGGTGGGTGTAGACAGCTGGCACTATACAGGTGGGTGTACACAGCTGGCACTATACAGGTGGGTGTACACAGCTGGCACTATACAGGTGGGTGTACACAGCTGGCACTATACAGGTGGGTGTACACAGCTGGCACTATACAGGTGGGTGTACACAGCTGGCACTATACAGGTGGGTGTAGACAGCTGGCACTATACAGGTGGGTGTATACAGGTGGCGTGTAGAGTACTCACAAAGCCCCGGGCGGTGAGGTTCTCGTCACACACGACCTTCTGGCCCGTGGGCAGCTTGAGCTTGGGGAAGTACTGCCAGTCCGGACCTTCACCACCCCCGGCCTCGTACTTCAGCACCGTCGCCTGCAACACACCAGGACAACACTGCTGGTGGGGGGACACTGGTGGGGGACACTGGTGGGGGACACTGGTGGGGGGCACTGGTGGGGGACACTGGTGGGGGCACTGGTGGGGGACACTGGTGGTGGACACTGGTGGGGGGCACTGGTGGTGGACACTGGTGGGGGACACTGGTGGGGGACACTGGTGGGGCACTGGTGGTGGACACTGGTGGGGGACACTGGTGGGGGACACTGGTGGGGGACACTGGTGGGGGATACTGGTGGGGGACACTGGTGGGGGCACTGGTGGGGGACACTGGTGGGGGAGACACTGGTGGGGGGCACTGGTGGGGGGCACTGGTGGGGGAGACACTGGTGGGGGACACTGCTGGGGGACACTGGTGGGGGACACTGCTGGGGGACACTGGTGGGGGACACTGCTGGGGGACACTGGTGGGGGAGACACTGCTGGGGGACACTGCTGGGGGACACTGCTGGGGGACACTGGCGGGGGGACACTGCTGGGGGACACTGCTGGGGGACACTGCTGGGGGGACACTGGTGGGGGACACTGGTGGGGGAGACACTGGTAGGGGACACTGCTGGGGGACACTGCTGGGGGACACTGCTGGGGGACACTGGTGGGGGACACTGGTGGGGGGTGACACTGGTGGGGGACACTGGTGGGGAAGACACTGGTGGGGGACACTGCTGGTGGACACTGGTGGGGGACACTGGTGGGGGACACTGGTGGGGGGACACTGGTGGGGGACACTGGTGGGGGACACTGGTGGGGGACTGACACTGGTGGGGGACACTGGTGGGGGACACTGGTGGTGGACACTGGTGGGGGACACTGGTGGTGGACACTGGTGGGAGACACTGGTGGGGGACATTGGTGGGGGACACTGCTGGTGGACACTGGTGGGGGACACTGGTGGGGGACACTGGTGGTGGACACTGGTGGGGAACACTGGTGGGGGACACTACTGGTGGACACTGCTGGTGGAACACTGGTGGTGGAACACTGGTGGGAGACACTGGTGGGGGACACTGGTGGGGGACACTGGTGGTGGACACTGGTGGTGGACACTGGTGGGGGACACTGGTGGTGGACACTGGTGGGGGACACTGGTGGTGGACACTGGTGAGGGACACTGGTGGGGGACACTGGTGGTGGACACTGGTGGGGGACACTGGTGGGGGACACTGGTGGTGGACACTGGTGGGGGACACTGGTGGGGGACACTGGTGGTGGACACTGGTGGGGGACACTGGTGGGGGACACTGGTGGGGGACACTGGTGGTGGACACTGATGGGGGACACTGGTGGGGGGACACTGGTGGGGGACACTGGTGGGGGGACACTGGTGGGGGACACTGGTGGGGGACACTGGTGGGGGACACTGGTGGTGGAACACTGGTGGGGGACACTGGTGGGGGACACTGGTGGGGGACACTGGTGGTGGAACACTGGTGAGGGACACTGGTGGGGGGACACTGGTGGGGGACACTGGTGGGGGACACTGGTGAGGGACACTGGTGGGGGACACTGGTGGGGGACACTGGTGGGGGAACACTGGTGGGGGACACTGGTAGTGAACAGTTGTAGTAAATTTTAATACATTAATAATGATTGTGCCATTAACACGGACAACATTTGGGTCATAAAGTGGGACAAATATGGAGAACAAAATAGAGGGTCAGTGGGGCTACCGGGAGTGGTGGCAGTAACACTCCCGGTTGTAATTGTTTTCCATGTCGTGGCGCCATCGACTAAGGCGCGACTGGGATTATCTCGGACGTAGGTTCGAACCCTCATCACGGCCCTTGTAGATTTGTTCAGTAATTTATGTTCAATGATAGCTGAACATAGGCTGCCATTTAGGAAGTAAGGAAGGTTACTTAGAGTTGAATAAGTAATTCTTAGTTTTTATCTTAAACTGGTTGACAGAGGTACAGCCTTTGACATGATTGGGAAGGTCATTAACATTCTGGGTCCCTTGATTTGTAGAGCATTTCAAGTTTGGTTAAGGCGCACTCTTGGAATATCAAATAGGTGTTTGTTTCTGGTGTGGTGCCCATGGAAGCGGTCAGACGCTTGACCTCTGTCGGGGATTGTGTCAGGAGTCTGACAACTTTCAAATGTTTTGAAGTCAGTGTGGTCAGGCGGGTTAAGTCCTGGCTGAAGAACAGATAGAGAAGTCTGGAAAACAGTTCACGGATATTCTACTTAATTTCACTACGAGGAATATATCACAATATACTTGGTATACATGTGATATAGGAGAAGGGTAAGAGGAAGGTGGCGCCTACCTCGTCCACTATAGCCTGGTCGAGGACGCGACACTGTTGTTGATAAGAGAAGCGGTGCCAGCGGTCGCCGTAAGCCTCCCGCACAGCGGTCATGTCGTCCAGCATCCGGCGACACAGCGGCGACACGCCACGGAAGAAGTCCTCGGGCGGCGACACCTGGGCTGTGGTCAGCAACACCTGCCCCCGGAGGCTGGATGGTGCAGGCATAGCCGGCCCGCTCCTCACCTGGGGAGAGGAGGGGGTGTTAATGTCCGGCCCGCTCCTCACCTGGGGAGAGGAGGGGGTGTTAGTGTCCGGCCCGCTCCTCACCTGGGGAGAGGAGGGGGTGTTAGTGTCCGGCCCGCTCCTCACCTGGGGAGAGGAGGGGGTGTTAGTGTCCGGCCCGCTCCTCACCTGGGGAGAGGAGGGGGTGTTAGTGTCCGGCCCGCTCCTCACCTGGGGAGAGGAGGGGGTGTTAGTGTCCGGCCCGCTCCTCACCTGGGGAGAGGAGGGGGGGGTGATAGGTCAAGGGGGGGCTACAGGGCTCTTGTTTGTGGGCAGTGAGGGATTGTGATCGTATGTGGGGAGGGGGTTGTGATCGCATGTAGAGGGAAGGTTGTGGTCGTGGCTGTAGGGGTGTGGAAGTTCTATATGTAAGTGGACACAATCGTCGTAAAATGTAAACACTCTCCCCTGTCATGTCACAGGAAAGGATTGCCACGTTAGACACCAGGGGGTGCGGACGTGCTCGTCTGCCCTGCCAGTTGCTACCTGGAGTTGCGTGTGGGAGGGTGCAGTTTGGCGTGTTGGCGCCATGGGGGGCTCCCCTCCCCCTGTTGTACCTGCCCAGTCTGTAGGCCTCGAGTTTTCTGATCGGGCAGACTATCCTGAGGTGGGGTTGGTGCTGTGTGACATGCTGCGGGGCCCTGTGGGGGATATTTATGGTGTTGAGCTGGAGACTGCCCGTAGGGTGATTGTTAAACTGACGACGGGGGAGGTGTATAGGGCGTTTTTACGTCGTTACGAGGGGCGGACCTTGCCCTTGCCCGAAGGTGCAGGCGCTGTGACTGTCTCCGATCGCTGTGGTGCCATCACGTATGTTAGCGTGCATCGGGCGCCCCTGGAATTCCCGGAGGGGCTGCTGAGGCATTATTTCGGCCAGTTTGGAGCGGTCGTCAGTGTGCAGTTGCACCTGCTCTCCTCGGGTCTGCTTAAGGGTGTGCGGTCGAACATTCGCACCCTGGGAATAAGGCTGCAGGGCTGACATTCCGTCTCAAGTGAAGCTTCTGGGTTGTTACGTTAGGGTGTATTATGCTCGTCAGCCCCGTACATGTTACCGTTGTGGCCTCTTGGCCCATCAGGCTGCTGGGTGCTCTGCACCTGTCGTCGCGCCCGTCAACCTCTTCCGTGAGCACGACTTCCCGCTGCTCCCTGTGGAGGAGGCTTCGGTGGATGTGGATGTGGACGACTCTTTGGCTGCTGCCATGCCCCGTGTGTTGCCTTATGCTCCTCCTGTTGCTCTTGCCCCTCCTCCGGAGGCTGTGTCGCCTGTTGCACCTCCTGTTGCTGTTGCCCCTCCTCAGGAGGCTGTGTCGCCTGTTGCACCTCCTGTTGCTCTTGCCCCTCCTCCGGAGGCTGTGTCGCCTGTTGCACCTCCTGTTGCTGTTGCCTCTCCTCAGGAGGCTGTGTCGTCTGTTGCACCTCCTGTTGCTGTTGCCTCTCCTCAGGAGGCTGTGTCGCCTGTTGCACCTCCTGTTGCTGTTGCCTCTCCTCAGGAGGCTGTGTCGCCTGTTGCACCTCCTGTTGCTGTTGCCTCTCCTCAGGAGGCTGTGTCGCCTGTTGCACCTCCTGTTGCTGTTGCCTCTCCTCAGGAGGCTGTGTCGCCTGTTGCACCTCCTGTTGCTCTTGCCCCTCCTCCGGAGGCTGTGTCGCCTGTTGCACCTCCTGTTGCTGTTGCCTCTCCTCAGGAGGCTGTGTCGCCTGTTGCACCTCCTGTTGCCGTTGCCTCTCCTCAGGAGGCTGTGTCACCGTCGGGTGTTCGTCCTGCCCCGGATACTCCTGTGGTTCTTCAGGCTCCTGTCTGCAAGGCTCCCCTGTCTTCCTGTTCTTCAGCTGTGGTGCCTGTCACCGCACCCTCGCCGTGTGCCCAGGCTGTGCTGGGTGCTGGGGTGGCTGTGGGGCCTCCTACTGTGCTGGGGTGGCTGTGGGGCCTCCTACTGTGCTGGGGTGGCTGTGGGGCCTCCTACTGTGCTGGGGTGGCTGTGGGGCCTCCTACTGTGCTGGGGTGGCTGTGGGGCCTCCTACTGTGCTGGGGTGGCTGTGGGGCCTCCTACTGTGCTGGGGTGGCTGTGGGGCCTCCTACTGTGCTCGGGTGGCTGTGGGGCCTCCTACTGTGCTGGGGTGGCTGTGGGGCCTCCTACTGTGCTCGGGTGGCTGTGGGGCCTCCTACTGTGCTGGGGTGGCTGTGGGGCCTCCTACTGTGCTGGGGTGGCTGTGGGGCCTCCTACTGTGCTGGGGTGGCTGTGGGGCCTCCTACTGTGCTCAACCTGGTTCCCTGTGTGGTTGAGGATGCTGCCGTCCTGCGGAGAGCGTCGGTTCGCCCGGCTTGTGTTGACCGGGTCTCTGGGTCAACATCCGGCTCTGATTATGTGCGGCCAGTGCCCAATCGTTCTCGACGATCTTCTGATTCGGCTTTTGTGGGAGAATTCGACGATGATGGGTCTTCCAGCGACGGTGGTGAGGTTCCGGTTACGTCACATTCTCCGGCGGTGGCGGAGGTCCATGTGCCTGCGGCTGCCAGTGTGGTGTTTCTTCTGGTGTGGTGCCTGTGGAGCTTGCTTCTGGTGTGGTGCCTGTGGAGCTTGCTTCTGGTGTGGTGCCTGTGGAGCTTGCTTCTGGTGTGGTGCCTGTGGAGCTTGCTTCTGGTGTGGTGCCTGTGGAGCTTGCTTCTGGTGTGGTGCCTGTGGAGCTTGCTTCTGGTGTGGTGCCTGGGGAGCTTGCTTCTGGTGTGGTGCCTGTGGAGCTTGCTTCTGGTGTGGTGCCTGGGGAGCTTGCTTCTGGTGTGGTGCCTGGGGAGCTTGCTTCTGGTGTGGTGCCTGGGGAGCTTGCTTCTGGTGTGGTGCCTGCATCGGATGGTTCTGGGGCTGCGTGGGGGGTGGTTCCTCCTGCTGGTGGTATTAAAAAAGACTGCTCGCTCTGGGGGTTCCGAGTCCCCAGTTTCGTCCCCTGTTTCTCCCGTCTCCGGCCGTCTCTTCTGCGTCTCCTGCGGTGTCGGGGGTGGTGTTGCCGGCTCGGCGGCCTTCGTCTTCTCCTGTGCATCCGGCGGCGGGGCGGTCTCGGTGGCGTCTATCCACTCCTTGCGTGTCTTCTGCCTCCAGGGAGGGAGTGGTTCAGTCTACCTTCCCTCGTTACGCGACTACTGCCGCCCAGCTCCAGCAGCTGCCGCCTGATCTGGTGGTTCCTGAGGTTATGCCCGCCCCCCTGAGGCAGGGGACCGTTGTCCTCCCGACAGGGAGTATTTAGTATGGCAGGCCTATAAGCTGAAATATCATCTGCATGAGTTTTCTCAGAAATATTCGCCACTCATTGAGGTCTTTCCACCTTTCAAGTGATTTTTGTGTGTGTTTGTGTTGTGTCCGTTTGTGTGCGTGGATGTGAGGTGCGGTTGCGTGCGTGTGTGCGTGTGTGGGAGTGTGGATGGGCCGGGTTTGTTTACTCGGTTCTTGCGTGATTCTGTGCTTGTTGTGTGGTAGTTGCTGCCCCTCGGCCTGCTTGTCTGGCCCTGCTTGTCATGCATTGCCGCTGTCATTTGCCTTCTGTTTCTGTGTTCATTTTTGTGTTTTCTTTATTTTTATTGTAGTTATGTATCTGTGTCTCTCCGTGTGGTTTCTGGGGCCAATAGGCTTGTTCTGTGGTGTTTCAATGGTTGGGTTGTTGGGTGCGGGTTTGGGTACTTTATACTTGTACTAATGTACTTATTGTTGTTTTTGTTGTCGGCCCATCAGGTCGTGTTTTGTGTATTTGATAATTTGTACTTTTGTGACTTTAAAATTTGTGCTTTTCAAATTCAAATTAAAAAACTTCAATTTTTTATTTTGAATTTGTGTTCCACTTGCCTAAAACTCTGCGTCTTTTACACTACAACTATGACTTGTTGTATAAGATGACTAGGTCTAATACATCACAATTACTGCCTATACCTCGCCAGGATCCTCAACCTTAGACTGAGCCCACCTGAGCACAGACACTCTCCGTGCTCATCAACACGTCTGGCATGCTGAAAAATCAATTCCGATTAGATATGGACTCACCCGGACCATCAGGACTCACCCGGACCATCAGGACTCACCCGGACCATCAGGACTCACCCGGACCATCAGGACTCACCCGGACCATCAGGACTCACCCGGACCATCAGGACTCACCCGGACCATCAGGACTCACCCGGACCATCAGGACTCACCCGGACCATCAGCATTCATCAGGACTCACCCGGACCATCAGGACTCACCCGGACAATCAGGACTCACCCGGACCATCAGGACTCACCCGGACCATCAGGACTCACCCGGACCATCAGGACTCACCCGGACCATCAGGACTCACCCAGACCGTCAGGACTCACCCGGACCATCAGGACTCACCCGGACCATCAGGACTCACCCGGACCATCAGGACTCACCCGGACCATCAGGACTCACCCGGACCATCAGGACTCACCCGGACCATCAGGACTCACCCGGACCATCAGGACTCACCCGGACCATCAGGACTCACCCGGACCATCAGGACTCACCCGGACCATCAGGACTCACCCGGACCGTCAGGACTCACCCGGACCATCAGGACTCACCCGGACCACCAGCATTCATCAACCACTTACTAAACCTGTATGTTTTCCTCAGTCATGTTTTCTCTCTATGAAGAGAGAGTGACAACACTGTATATACTTTCTCTAGAAAGGCGAACAATTAGCGGTGACATGACTGAGGTGTAGGAGTGACATGACTGAGGTGTACGAGTGACATGACTGAGGTGTAGGAGTGACATGACTGAGGTGTATGAGTTACATGACTGAGGTGTACAAGTGACATGACTGAGGTGAACGAGTGACATGACTGAGGTGTATGAGTGACATGACTGAGGTGTACAAGTGATATGACTGAGGTGTAGGAGTGACATGACTGAGGTGTAGGAGTGACATGACTGAGGTGTAGGAGTGACATGACTGAGGTGTAGGAGTGACATGACTGAGGTGTAGGAGTGACATGACTGAGGTGTAGGAGTGACATGACTGAGGTGTACGAGTGACATGACTGAGGTGTAGGAGTGACATGACTGAGGTGTACGAGTGACATGACTGAGGTGTAGGAGTGACATGACTGAGGTGTATGAGTTACATGACTGAGGTGTACAAGTGACATGACTGAGGTGTAGGAGTGACATGACTGAGGTGTAGGAGTGACATGACTGAGGTGTAGGAGTGACATGACTGAGGTGTATGAGTGACATGACTGAGGTGTAGGAGTGACATGACTGAGGTGTAGGAGTGACATGACTGAGGTGTAGGAGTGACATGACTGAGGTGTAGGAGTGACATGACTGAGGTGTAGGAGTGACATGACTGAGGTGTAGGAGTGACATGACTGAGGTGTAGGAGTGACATGACTGAGGTGTACGAGTGACATGACTGAGGTGTAGGAGTGACATGACTGAGGTGTAGGAGTGACATGACTGAGGTGTACAAGTGAATAAATGGGCATAACAAGGGTATAGTTCCATTCATCTGGGGCCAGATTCACGAAGCAGTTACGCAAGCACTTACGAACGTGTACATCTTTCCTCAATCTTGGACGGCTTTGGTTACATTTATTAAACAGTTTACACAAATGCAAACTTGCCAATCAACTGTTGTTATTGTTATAAACAGCCTCCTGGTGCTTTGGAGCTCATTAACTGTTTAATAATTGTAAACAAAGCCGCAAAAGATTGAGAAAAGATGTACAGGTTCGTAAGTACTTGCGTAACAGCTTCGTGAATCTGGCTCCCAGCTTCTAGGTGACTCGAACCGTGAACCCCTCGCGTGTGAAGCCCAAGCTTTATCTATATTATGTATATATATAATGGCTTTATGAGGGGGGATATTAATAGGGTATTAAAAGTATCAACACAAGACAGAACATGAAACAATGGGTATATATTCGATAAGTCTAGAAAGACTTATCGAATTTATACCCATTTAGATAAGTTTAAGAAAGACCCTGGGTAAATACTGGTTCGGTAACAGGGTTGTTGATTTGTGGAACCAATTACCGCGTGATATAACAGAAGTAGGATCCCATGATTGTTTCATGTGTAGGATAGACATGTGTAGGTTGTAAATATGAGTGGGATTGGGTGGGTATAATTAGGTGCTGCCTCGTATGGGGCCAATAGGCCTTCTGTAGTTACCTTTGTTCTTATGTTAAGAACTAGCTGCTTATTGTTAGTTAAGAACTTATTCTTTATTAAGAATGTATTCCTTATACTTAGTTAAGAATGTATTCCTTATACTTAGTTAAGAATGTATTCCTTATACTTAGTTAAGAATTAGTCCATTATTATTAGTTACGAATTAGTTTCTTAATATTACTTAATAACTAGCTCCTTATAAATAATTAGTTCCGTCTTAAGAATGACTTTTTTCATTTA